GAAATCTTAGAACCTGGGATCACTCATTGTCAAATGAAGGAAGCACTCTTGTTTCTACTTTAACAATGTTATCATGTATGGGTGGTAAATTTTATCAACTATTTCTGCATCTACTGCAATCCCCAGATGATTTTTCATCTTTATTCCTACAGTGAATTACATTCATTTGCAAATGTTAGATCAACCTTGCATTCCTGGTCTAAAGTCAATTTGGCCATGAGGAATTATTGTTTTCAGATTATTGGATTCAGTTTACTAATATTTTATTTAGGAATTTTTGCATCCATGTTCATGAGACTGGCCTATTTATCCTTCATTCTTGTGATGCCTCCTTTCGGTGAAGGTGTCAAGACTGCTGGTTTCTTTGGAAGCTCTTAAGACTGAGTTTCTCTTTAAATATTTGGGAGAACTCATCAATAAACCCACTGGAGCCTGGATTTTATATTGTGGGTTTTTGTTTATGACTTGATTTCTTTAATAAATATAAGACTAACTTATATTTTTAATATATTCGTGTCATTTCTGTTAATTTGAATTTTCTTTTAAAGTTGCCTAAATAATCTAAAACTTTAAATGTACTAAAATCATTTACAATATCCTGTTATAGTTTCACTTGATCTTAGCCAAAAGGCCGAGAAGCGATTATCCTGTTATAGTTTCAATGTCTATAAAATTTGTAGTGATGCTCCTTTCTTGAAAAATAAATATAAATACTTTGGCTATTTGTGACTTTTTACTTTTTTTCTTAAGCTTCATCACATGTCATTTAATACAAATTCATATTTATCAATAGGAACTGATATAAAAGAAATGTTATTATATTTCAGAATCAACTTTTGGTTTGGTCCATACTTCTTATTCTTTGTCTGTTCTTTAAGATTTTTCCTAATTTTTTTTGAGAGAGAGTCTTGTTGTGTTGCCCAGACTGATCTCAAAGTTCTGCGTCTCCAGCCTTAGGGTTCCAAGTGGCTAGGAATACAGGCATGTGCCACCATGCCTGGCTTGTGTGTCCATTTTTATTTCTGTACTTCAAAAATTTCTACAGTTCAGTATTTCTTTTAATACTTCCTTTGGGTCATGTTATCTTTTACCAAATTTTTGAAGTAATATACTTTGCTCGTTAGATTTCAGTTATTTTCTTTTATGACAAAGCCATTCAGTGCTCAGTGAGCATGGCTTTAACTGCATCCTTCAAAATCGATGTGGACCATTTCCATTATCACTCCCTAAAACATGTTCTCATTTTCATCACGACTTCCTTCACTCATCTCGTTGGGTATTCAGAAGCACATTTTCAAACATGGGTTTCCCTATTTATCTTTCTGTTACTGACTTCCAGGTTATTGGTGTTGTGTTCAGAGAAAATGCTTGTTTTTTCAGTCTGTTAGTCCTAATTGAGACTTATTTTATAGTCCAATATATGGTCAACCTTTGTAAAGAGTTCAAGTGGCCCGAAGAGTCTTTAATTTGCAGTCCTTGTTATTAGGTTCTATATACATATGGGCAGTAAATGAAGCTGTTTATTAAGATAGTTCCAATGTTCTAAATTATTACTGTTTGTTTTGTCTGCATCTTCTATCAGTTAGGGAGATATGTTAAAAATCTCTCACGATAATTGCAGACTGCAAGTTCTGGAAGCATTTGCTCTATTTTGAAGGTATTTTATTACATGTATTCAAATTTTGGATTGTCATTTATTTCTGGTACACTAAATATTTCTCTCTTAACAATTCTATTGGTTTAAAGTTTACCTTTTTTTAGCGTTTATAGTTATTTCTTTTTCTATGCTTTTATCTCTTGATATCCTAATATTTCACCCATGTCCAGAGATTCTACATAATATAGTTTGTTTTAAAAATTCTAATGTGATGATCTAAGTTCTTTATAGCTAATTTACATTTATACTTAATGAAAAACTGAGTCTTCATCATCTAAGTACTCTCTACTTATCCTAACTGTTCTATGTATCTTTTTACTCTGCTTTTTAACCTACATTTAAAATATGTTTTATTGGCCCATATGCTTCCCCTTGTACTATCATGGGAATTATGTACTTTTTCTTATTGTGATAAAATATACATAAAAATTACTTTTAAGTGCACATCTCAGTACATACATTAACACTGTGCAACCATCACTGCCATCAGTCTTCAGAATACTTTCATCTTCCTGACCTGAAACTCTACAACCATTAAACACTGTATTCTTCCCTTCACCCATTCCCTTACAACCACCATTGTACTTTCTGCTTCTATCAGTCTGACTACATACTCTAGGTATCTTATGTAAGTGGATTCACAGTATTTGTTCTTTCCTGGCTTTTTTTTTCTTTTAAGACAAGGTCTTGCTATGTAGCTCAGACTGGCCTTGAACTTGTGGCAATCTTCTGGCCTCAGTCTCCTGAGGGCTGGAATTACAGGTATGCGGCACCACACCCAGCTCTCTTTTGTGACTTTTTTTTTTTTGGTACCAGGGATGGAACTCCAGACCTTGCGCTTATGAGGCAGGCGGTGGAAACACTGAGCTAAATCCTCGGCCTCTTTTGTGACTTTTATTTCACTTAGTTTTTAATTTCGATCATGTCTATTGTATTCTTAAGATAAGCTGTTCTATGAATTTTTTGTTACGATTTTTTAAGGAGTTTTCTCTGATGTGCTGAGATGTTCTTATTTTTCTTCAGCCATCATTTTTTTTTGAAGTACTGTGTCTGCTCTATTTTCTTGTTCTTTTGTTTAAAGTCTGGTTACACAAATAACAGAACTTCTCACTGTATCTTTACTATTTTTGTTTTCATTTTGTTTTATTTCATTTTACTAGTTTTGTTTCAATCTATAGCTTCTTCTTTCTCCTTCGTTTTCTTTTTTTTTTTTTTTTTGGTACAGGAGTCCTGGCCAGATGGGAACCTACTGTGCAGTCCAGGCTGGCCTCAAACTCACCATCCTCCTGCCTCAGCTTCCCATGTTCTGGGATTACAGGCGTGTGCCTATACATCCAGCTTCTTCTATCTTTTAACTATCATTTCAACTATTTGTCTAACCTGCTATAGAGCCTATTAACTAAGTTATTACATTCACTTTATTTTTCATCAATGAAATGTGACAATCAAGGTGGACCGTCAACTTGATTGGCTTGGGAGTTGCCCAGAGGATTAATAAAGCACACTTCTGGGTGTGTCTGGGTAGGTCATGGAGGTATGAATTTGAGGTCTATATCTGGTCCCTGTCCCTTTCTTTGTGCTCTTCAACCTCTCTGCTTCAGGACCACCATGAACTAAGCAGCTTTTTATGCCACACCTTTCTGCCATGATGTTCTTGCCTTGAAGCCAGCCTACCATGCACTGAATCCTCTGAAACCATGAGCCAAATAAACCTCTTCCTCTTTAAGCTGTGGGTACTGGGTACTCATTCCCAGCCACAGGAAAGCTAATAAATGAAATTTTCACTTTTAAGATGTTTTCCATTATCTACTAACTAAAATTCTGTTTTATCTTTTGTTTCCTTGAAAATAATACATCTACATTAGCTTTTACTATGTAGTAAACCCCTTTCAAAACTTATTAACTTAAAATAACAGATCTCTATCTACCCCTTAATTCTGCTAACTAGCAATGGGTTGATTCCTGTGGGTGATTCCTATCATCTTGGATGGGTTCACTCATGCATCTGTGGACAACTGCCAGACTGGGTAGGTTGTTCTGCTGATCTGTGCTAATCTCTCACATGTACAGGTGTAGATGGCTGTAGGCTAGACTGCCTTGGCTATCTTCCACATAGTTTCTTGTCCTTTGGCAGGGTGTCTGGGCTTCCTCACATGGATACAACAAACTTCTGAGAGTGATCAAAGCCTTTTGGACTTGCCAGTCAGGGGCCAGAACCATTGAGCTAAATCCCTGGCTCTAGGCCTTTTGGAAACAGCATAATTTGTCAAAGCAAGTCATAAGGCTGGCCCAGATTCAAAGTGGTAGGAAGACAGATTCTGCTTCTTAATGAGATGAGCTTCAGCCCCAACCCACTGTTAGAAGTTTACCAAGATCCCATTCTCCTGACTGCAGTACTATTTCAAAAGAGTCCCTCAAGCTCCTGGCTGCTTCTCTGCAAACAAACTTCTCCTTCTCTGGAGGCAAACTGGTCTTAAACACTGAGCATATTTCTCTGCAACTCATCTTCTCAGTACCCCGTCCCAGCAATTGATTATTATCTTGACAGCTTTTCGGTGTTTTTCAGTGGATTTTTTTTTACATTTATTCAGTTTTCCTAGCTGTCCTCAATGGAAAGTTTGCTTGAATCACCTAGACACCTACAACTGGAAACAGCTTTTAACCCACTATTTTGAGGAAAGGGATTCTATGTTGATCTATAGAAACTTAAAAAATATACAATATACACAAATTCTTTGCTACTCTTTTCTTTAAGAGCAAGTACTCACCCCCCCACCCCACCCCACCATTGTTGGCTTGAATGTAGTGACTCAGCCACCCGCCATGATGCAGATGTGCAAGGAGCCTTGCAGGAAGAAAGGCCCATTGGTGAGAAACTGAGGCCTCCTGCTGTGAGCCATGTGGGTGGGAGAAACAGATCCTCCCTCTTAGTCTAATCTGGACAACCACAGTCAGGCTGACACGTGAGACCCTCAGCTAAACCACCCCGTTCAGCCATTCTTCATCCTGATCTGCAAAATGCGAGATGATAGATGTTTCCATGACAGTCAATTCTGGAGTAATTGGCTTTGCACTAGTAGTTAACTAATGCAATGATTTTTGGGGTTTTTTTGTACTGGGGATTAAACTCGGGACCTTCTGCTTGCAAGGCAGGTGGTGGAACCACTGAGCTAAATCCCCAGCCCTTTGTTTGTTTGGCTTTTTTTGGGTACTGGGGATCAATGTTTGTTTTTAACTTTAATAATATTATTTTATTATATATTTTCACTTAGAATTATCCTTTTTATCTAAGAAAATGAAATAACGTACAATGTTTAAATATAAAAGAATATGAATACTTTACCTCTTTATTGTTTTGTTCACTCCTAATGGGAAGCAGTTTTTTTCAGAACAGATGAAGTCATTTCCACAATAGTACTGATAGATAAGCCTTTCAGAAAACCTTTCTGGTTCTTTCTCACTTCCTGAAGAGCACTGATAATATGGTGTCTATGTGAAAAGAAAACATACATCAGCATTCCCCCTTTCCAAAGTAACATGTTCTGAACATGCTATTATTGAATTATCAATTATTAAAGTGACCTATATTCTTACAGAAAAGTTTAAAATTATTTAAAACATAATTTCAGTTATTACCTGCTGACCTCTGGATGCAGTTCAGCCAGTATCTTTATGATCTTGGTAAAGCTACGAAAGTTCAATGTATTTGGAGGTAGGAACTGAATAGGTATTTTTGGTAATTGAGCAGATTCAATCTGTTTACAATTCTTCTTGGCATCCTAAATGAATGAATAGAACAAATAATTGTTAAAAATAGGAGACAAGAGGGACAAAAAACTGCTAGAAAGGTGAGGGAACTTGGAACGACAAAGATGGTAACTGTACGTTCTCTACCTATACATCCTAAGACAACACACTCCTGCCTGAAGCTCACAGGGCTCTTTGTCTTTGCCACACTCATGACCACAGCCACAGCTGACTGGATCAAGAGTGTTGTCTCCTGAACTACTAAACTCTAAAAGCACAGGCTGGGTCAATCCAACTTTCTGCCTAAAAATGTGGAATTGGCATACAGAGCAAATTCGTGAGTCAAATGATCACGTGGGCTTGACAGAGTGAGACAGACACTACCAAGTTAGAATCAAGCAAAATAAAACCAAGTAAGGGAAAGAAGGCAGCGTCAAGTACAGGAAAGCAGCATGCAGAGCAGCAGGAGAAGGAGCACAGAAGGGTGCAGAGGAAGCAACCACATGTACCACATGCGAGACAAGGGCGGACACAAGGCCCCCAAGCCTCCATCTCAGGCCGCACATACCCCAAATGATGTTGTCTTCTTCCTTCCATATTGTACCCCAGAACCCATACTAAACATAAAATATTAGAGATAAAAGGAAAAGATTTCTTAAAAGGATGGGAGTTATGACTAGGGACAATGAAAAGGACAGTTTAAAGATGAAAGTCAGAATATTAGGACAAAGGAGAGAAGCAACCAAATAAATTGAGACATTTGATGTAAACTATTCCACTGAGAAGTTTGCCTAGCATATATGAAGCCCTAAGTTCAGTCCCCAGTTCCAGCAACAAACAATACAACAGCAACAGCAAAACTCCCATTCTAATTGATGCTCTCATTCCTACTTCAGCATTGCTGGTACTGGAGTTACTTATCCTACAAAGGCACTCACAGTAGCATGGCATGTAGCAGACCGTCTACAGGACGAATTAAGAAACTAACCTGGTCCAAAGGTGAAAGCTCACTGTCTTGCTCAGATACCATCTGCCTCGGCCTAGTTCTGGCAAGTCTAGAAACAGAGGAAGCTGGGTTGATTTCTTTGTTGATATTTTTCTCCAAATTATTCAAATGTTTTTTTGAGGAAAGTGGTGATGTACATTCTCCATGAGTTTCAATAAGCCACACATTTACTGATTTTCCACTTATTTCCATCCCATTCATTTCTTCCACAGCCATCTTTGCATCACTGTTTTTCTTAAAAGAAAGAGATGCGTATCTATAGTATAAAAACACAGGACCAAAAAGTTCATCATTAACAACTTTACCTTAAACTTAACTTTCTTGATAAATGGTTTTATGTTTCTAATAGCTAAATATATCTTTCACAAGAATAACTGATCATTTTTTTTTTTTTTTTTGGTACCGGGGATTGAACTCGGGTCCTTGCAGTTGCACAGCAGGCGGCAAAACCACTGAGCTAAATCTCGGGCCCAAGAATAACTGATCTTAAAAATAAAAAGGTTATTGCTGGGCATGGTGGTGCTTGCCTGTAATTCCAGAACTTGAGAGGCTGAGGCAGGATGGCCAAGGCCAGCCTGGACTACAGTGAAATTTTGTCTCAAAAACCAATAAATAAATAAATAAATAAATAAATTAAGGTTACTGTATTCTATTTACTTTGGAATAAAAATATTCAGAATAACTAAATATAAAACAAATTAAAGATGGGAAATAAATAGTAAGCATTTTAAACAATTACATCCTATTAATTTCATATTAAAATTTAAAGTTTCAATTTTTAGTGCTTTAGCTTATTAATACATGTGAGGGGCACACAATGCTTTACATTCCCTGAAGGAAACTGGTAATGTACATGACACATCTTAAGTTCATATATGACAGGACTGCAGAGACTGGGGTTTAGGGACAATGGGTTATCCATACTAAAAACTTAATGGTTACGTACAAACGCAAACTCCAATTGGCTCAAAGTGAAAAGCAAAAAGCCATTTATCTGAATGTCTTTATAACCTTGTAGAGGAAAAACCATACCAAAAAAAGTGAGAAAACATAATCAGAATTTCAATCATAAAACCGAGAGAAAGGTGGGCAAGTGGTATCCTTATTAAACCAACAGGCTCAGACAGAAGCAAAGGAAGGATACGTACCAACTCTAAAAAGCAGTTATTTTGAATGATGGGACTATGAGTAAACTTTTATAACTTCATTGTATTTAACTATATTTTCTACATTTCCACACAAAATGTATGACACTTCAAGTACGGAGAAAAACACAAAATTTTTTAAAAAGGAAATTCAACAATACTTTAGCACTGTGAAATACATTAACATCAAACATATCAATAGGTCAAACTAAAAAAGCAAATGATCTTAAATAACTCCATTTAAGATAATTTAACACACATTTTTAATAAATTTCAACACCAACTATCAATAAAATTCTTAACAGATAAATGTTTTTGTTTGAAGTATATAGTCATAACTTAAAATGATAAAAGAGTAAAGACATTTCTATTGAGTTATCACAATTGTTATTTGCTATTTTTGGATACTTTGGCAATATAACAAGAGAAGCAACATACAAATTGGAAGTCACTATATATGGATAATACAGCCATCTACTCAAAAATTCAAATCAGAAATAATAAAAAGAACTTTTTTGAGCACTTGCTACATGCCAGGCTTAATTTCTAGTGTGTTTAACTTTTAATTTTTGCAACAATGCTATAAAAATACTATTATCATTAATAGTTGACAGATGAGAAGGCTGAAGTATGAAGATAAGTAATTTGCCCAAATTCATTCATCAAGTTATTGATAGAAGTGGGATTTGAACCAAAGTCACATATTTTAGAGCCCATTTTCTTAACTAATGCACTCGGCTTCTCCTATTAATTGGTATGTAACAAGATAAAGGGCACAAAATCAGAACTCTCCTACATAGCATAATGAAGTTAAAAAGTATACAGAAACAAAGGTTGATGAAGCATGGCACCAATGATTGCAGCCATCTGCGTTGCCTCCTTCCACTAGCCTGGGAATCTCTGCGGGAGGCCCCTGACTCTGTCCCTGCTTCAGCTGACTCTAGCACAGCAGCTCTGATGCATAGGAGACACACAGTAATGCACTTACTGAATTTGGGAAACACACCTGTAATCAGTAGAAGAATCACAAATTGAGATTTCAGAAACTTGGTATTTCTGGAAGTAAGACCTCAAATCAGCCTACAAGAGAAATAAAAAATTGTGAAAGGTAGAAGAAATAACCATAATATAAATAATCAGTGAATTTGAAAATGAAGCCCCCCCCCAAAAACCTGGCATACCTCAGATACTGAAGGGCAGAGACCACCGACATGTATCAAAAAACCTTTATCTCTTTGTAAGGGTTCAACATTCTTCATTTCTGCTTATAGAAAAGCATGAAACAGAAATGACTATTTTTGTACTGTTATTTTAAAGAAAAACTTCAAAAGTTCAATATTCCATGATTTTGTCCTCAATTACAAAATTTATTTAAAAATCATCAGCAAGTATCAGCAATAGATTGAAGACAATAGCCTGGGATGTGCTTTTAAGGTTTCTGGGCCATAAACCTATCTTAAAAATAAAGAGGGTTGGATTGGTTGATACGAAGTCCCCTGGATATAGAAAATGTATCAATTGCTGGTGGTCAGAAAGCTGTCCTTATACACATTCTTTGCTGAGGACAGAGCATTCCAAGAAAAACCTTTGCATCAGATAAGTCAACAGCATGTATATAGTTTTGTGATGTAGTAAATGCACATAGAAAAAAAGGAGGAGACAAATAATAGTGTGATCCTATAAATCGCAAAAGTAGGGTTACGGACATTTCTTGTTTAATAACAATATTCAAAATCCTTAGACTGCATTCCCATGGTCTCTGTTGTGGAGACAATCTGGTCTAAGATCAAAAATGATTCACTGAACTGAGATTGAAATTACTATTGGGGTAGGGGTTTCACAAATATTGCTGAATGAATTCTCAGAGTATTTGTTTATTTGTTTCATAATTTTTATGTTTACATAATGGGAGATTTGCAAACTTTTTCATTAAATAACAGAAGAAAAAGAAGAGGAAGGAAGAAGGGAAGGAAGAAGAGGAGGAGGAGCAGTCTAGCACTTACTGAATGCTTCTCATGCTCCAGGCAATATGCCAACTGCTTTATATACATCATCTCATATAATTCTCACAGCTACCTCGTGAGGTAGCTATTGTTATTTCCATTTTATAGATGTGGATACTGATGCCTAAGGAGTTTTGATCAGAAATCTAGTAAGTGGTAGTGCTAGAGCCAGGCAGAATCTCTCATCTCAAGGTAAAAGAATACCTATTCTTTTTCATTAACTTACTTCATTTAATTTGTTGATCTGTTTGGATATTAACATGTCCTAAAGAGAAAACAATGAAACTATCTTTATAATTTAGAATTTAAGGGCTGGGGATTTAGCTCAGTGGTTCTGGCGCCTGCTATGCAAGTGGCAAGGTCCCGAGTTCGATCCCCAGTACCAAAAACCAAAAAGCTCTTTATAATTTAGAATTTACACTGGAGTGAGGAGGGAGTAGAGTTATAGTAGAAAGGGCAGAAGATGTACATTGTAACCATCCCTTCCCTTTCACTAGTCCAATAAAAATGTCTACTCAAGATCCTGTGTGCTGAGCACTAGACATGGCCGCCCGTGAACAAAACACACAAAGCAGCATGGGGAGGCAGTCAGTACAGCAAGCATGCAAAACACAGAGCATGTACTAAGTGATGTCGGAGAAAAATAATCCAAGGAGAGAAAAAATGGTTACAATAAAACTAAACGATAATTACACACATGAAAAGATGCAAAAATGGTCACTATGAGTGGTTATTACTGGTTAGGGAAGTCAATTAATTCTAATTTTATTATATTTTTATATTTTAAAATCTTAAGAATTTTTCTACAAGCAGGGAAAAAATCAATAAATCTGTTGCTATCATGGAAAAATATCTGCAGAAGCAGATAGGTAACTAAAGAAAGGTAGCATAAATATCATTAGAAATGGCAGAAGGGAAATGGGCTTGGTGGTGCACACCTGTAATCCCAGTACTCTGGGAGGCTGAGGCAGGAAGAACACAAATTCAAGCACAGATCTGGGTAACTTAGTAATTTAATCATATCTTGTCTCACAAAAAGCAAAAACAGCTGGGGATGAAGCTCTGTGGTACTGTAGTCTGCCTCACAAGTGCAAGGTCCTGAGTTCTATCCCTGGTACCAAAAAAAAAAAAAAAAGGCAAAACCCAAAAAACAAAGGACTGGGGAATGTAGCTCAGTGGGAAAGCTCTAGTTCAATCCGCCACAGGAAAAAAAAGCATAATTACAGATACTAAAGAAAATTGTATCATAAGCTATTAAAGGCTATCTGAAGGTGAAAACACTCCTTAAATAAGATAAAATTACTGAAGTACAGAAAAGCAAACTGTTTTCATCACTAACACAAACTTGACAGATTGGTACAGGTTGGCTGCCTGATGGAAACTGAGAAGCTGATTTGGGTACCATGTACCCATCCCTGGAAAATGGCTGCCGAGGTTCAGAAGAAAAAGATGCCCCAAAGGAGTACAGAGGCAGCTTTGAGCAGAAGAAAAAGAATGCTAAGTGTTTACCTGCTAACTAAATCCTGGACCTAAGTTTTAAGCAATTTTCTGAAAGAGAAACGAACATTTAATATTGATTTTCTCTTTAAAAAACTGACCTCCAACCAGCCAATTTTCTCTTTTTTATATGTATAAAAAAATCCAGAGACAGGAACAAAATATAGCCCAATCTCCCAAATTAACACAGAAATAGGCAAGCACTATTTTCAAATAAGCTGGACTAGAATTTCTCAATAAATTCTTAAGAACCAGTGCTGGGGATTTAGCTCAGTGGTGCCACCGCCTGCCCTGCAAGCGTTAAGGTCCGGAATTTGAGCCCCAGTACAAAAAAAAAAAAAAAAGAACCAACCTACTGTAAGCTTCGGATTCTGTCGGTCATGATCTATTTCAGTTTCTTGTATTTCTGAGGAGTCGACTCCTGTCATGTTCTCTTTAGCATCAAACCAGTGTTCACTGACTTCATGGCCACTCCTGCACTCTAAGATATTGAACACAAGCTCTGGGTTATGTGTGATGCCCAACCCTCTGAACACTCACCTAGGTATTATCTTTATGAAGTGTGACAGTGGCCGTCTTTAAGAAATTTTAAGCAGGGGACAGCTCACTTCATTATTTTTTGGAAGGGTAATCTTTTACAGGAAAAAATTGAGGAATATTAGGAACATTTTAAACATGTTTTCTAGCAACTACACAAATAATATTTTTATACTGACCTTTATCATCAAGTTTTAGTTGACTAAAGTCTACATTTATTTCACCATTTTTTAAGCCATCTTTCTTAGGTGACGTACTGTCAGGTAATGAAGACATCTGAGGGTTAAGATAATAAGAACAAATAAGGACCAGGAATGACTGCCTCTTACTACATGACAGGAACTCTTCGCTGGCATTATTAGCCCTCCTAACAATGAGGGCTGTAAGAGCAAAATCATTACCAATCTGAGGGAGAAAATTAAATCTAGCTTGCTGGCTCATGTCGGAGCTAATGAGAATTAGGATTTGTGCCCAGGGTGTGTATAGTGACTGTGCTGACATGGTTATTATTTAGGAACGTGTGGCATACATACACTAGAAGTATTTTGAGATGATTTTTGGATGTACAAAAATATTTATCATCTTAGGCTTTATATATTTAATTTAGTGTGCATACTTATGTGTTCTTTTATTTATGGGAACTAAAATTTCTTTCTGATATGTAATAGTGAGTTATTCTTTATGCTTCAATTTAGTATATGTGCTGCTGAAGCAAGCACATTTTTTTTTTTGGTACCGGGGATCGAACTCAGGTCCCTGCGCTTGCGCAGCAAGCGGCAAAACCACTGAGCTAAATCCCCAGCCCTATGCTTCAATTTAAAAAGGAGAGTAATTTAGGGCTGAGGATTTAGCTGAGTGGTTCCACCGCCTGACTCGCAAGCACAAGGACCCAAGTTCGATCCCCAGTACCAAAAAAAAAAGAGAGTAATTTAAAGAAAAATATAAAGTAACTAATATTATATGTAATATATGACTATGGAAAATTGTGATGATACATGAATAGCTGAATTCAGAAACATTATATTACATTATAATGGCTTTCACAAATTGATTTAATGATAGATATTAAAATATGACTCAATCTTAAAATAGATATTGCTTTATAGTCAAAACTAAGATGAGAAAAGTTGTCTATTATAACTTATTCAAAATTTTTTTTTTTTTTTTTGGAACCAGGCATTGAACTTGGGACCTTGCACTTGCAAGGCAGGCGCTGGAATAGCTGAATTCAGAAACATTATATTACATTATAATGGCTTTCACAAATTGATTTAATGATAGATATTAAAATATGACTCAATCTTAAAATAGATATTGCTTTATAGTCAAAACTAAGATGAGAAAAGTTGTCTATTATAACTTATTCAAAATTTTTTTTTTTTTTTTTGGTACCAGGCATTGAACTTGGGACCTTGCACTTGCAAGGCAGGCGCTGGAACCACTGAGCTAAATCCCCAGCCCACATTAAAAAAATTTTTGCAATGCTGTGGATGACATTCTAGGCAAGCACTCTAGCACTGTGCTATATCCCAAGCCCTACTTCTTTTACGTTAGTACATGCATGTTTGTAGCATATAACATTCATAGGGGGGAGTTAGTACCAGTACATAACAAACCTGAATTCTTTTTACATCTCCTTTCTCGTCCCTTCCCTCCTCCTATTGGTCCCTTTTCATTTGGAAAAGACCTATTTGCCCATTACCTATTATCTTTTATTTAACCCTTTAACTTATTTATGAATTGGATTTCTCATATAAGAGAAACCATGAGATATTTAAACTTGTGTCTGATTTATTTCACTTAATATTATGGCCTCCAAGGTGCATTCATTTTCCTACAAATGACTCAAATTTATTCTTTATGATACAGTACTCCATTGTATATAAATCTACATTTTCTTTATTCATTCATTTGTTGATGGACATATAAACAGCTTCCAAGACTTAACTACTGCGTTGTGATACCATAAAACACTGGGATGCATGTATCACTGTGGCATGATATTTTAAACTTTTTTATTTAAACTCTTTTGGGAAGATTCCTAGAAGGGAAATACCTAGGTTGAATGGAATTTCTAGTTTCAGCTTTTTTGAGGAGGCTCCATACTGATTTCCATAGTGATTTTATTAGTTTACATTTCCACCAACAATGCAGAAGGGTTCTTTTTTTGCTACAGCTTCACCAGCACTTATTATGTGTCATTATTTTTCGGAGTCAGGTAAAATCTATGGCCAGAGATGCTGAATATTTTTCATGTATTTACTGGCCACTTGTAGTACTTCTTTTGAGAAGTGACTATTTCAGTTGTCTATTTTTTGACTGGGTCTTTTATTTTTTGGGGGGGGTCTAATATTTTGAGTAAAAATATTCTAGATATTAGTCCTCTGTTAGAAATAATTGGTAACACTTTTTTCCCCATTTTGAAGGTTGTCTCTTTACTGTTGGTTATTTCCTTTGCTGTGCAGAAGCTTTTTATTTTTTTTTTATTAAGTACTTTTTTGAGTGATGAAAATGCTTTGGAAGTAGACAGATGTGATGATTGCAAAGCATTATGAATATACTAAAAACAAAGAACTTCACACTTAGAAATTAGTAAGGAAGTGAATCTTATGATAATTGTATCTCAATGAAAAATTATAAATGCTGTCATGAACATCACAATATAAAAATCTAGTTATAATGTTTCACTAGACAGTTTTGAGATATAACAAACCACAATCATCTTTGAAGTCTTTTTAATTAAGATACATCCAGTAAAAAATTGTGCATTGTAGGAAAACTTCACAAACACATACAATTGAAACTACCCTTCTGAAATAAATGTTTGTATTTCTTTGAAAAACATAATTACAATTTTACATTTTTCAAAGTTATTAATAAAATTATTCTTAGGAAAGGTATTGCTAACACACAGCATTAAATGAAAATGGTTCACCTTCTTTGTAAAAGTGATTTAGAGAACCATAAGAATGTTGTGTGAAACTTTTTCTTTTGGAAACCCCCTACATTGTGAAACTATCATTCTATATTCTATCATTCATATATTCATATATATATTTCAAGTTCAAAGACTGAAACAGAATATACAGAAAGCAAAATTCACTGACAAATTTGAAAGGATTTTTTTTATATATTCCACTACTACTGTCACAAAATTTTTAGATTCAATTTCATGTTAGGCATTTTGTGACTAATAAAAAGTATGTGACATGAAATGTCAAAAAAGTAGTGCTTATAAAATATTTATCTTTTAATATTACTTGAAGCTACATTTTACCAAATTATGAAACTATATAGGGCAGTTTTAAACAATATTCAGAGACTTGTTTTCTTTTTCAACTTCTATTTCAGCTTCATTTCCAACTTCAGCTTTGTTTTCATCTTCCTCTTTATCTCTCACATCTTTCTCATCTCTTCTTCCATGTTCTTTTCCATCTTGTCTTTTTCATCTTTTTCTTTTTCCTGTCCATCTTCTTCATTTCCACCTTCATCTTGCTGTCCATCTTTATCCTTTTTTCCATCTCTTTCCCTTTCTTTCATCACTTCTTTTCCATGTTTTTCCTTTCTCCATCTTCATCCTCTTGATCCTTTTTCATTTTGATAATCTTCCCTTTCTCCATCTTCTCCTTTCTTGTCTCTCTTTGTCCTTTTCCCTCTTGACCTTGTTTTTCATCTTCTCCTTTCTCTTTACTTTGATCTTCCTTGTTTCTGATCTTTTACATCTTGTTTCTCTTCTGCTGTCACTGCTTCTTTCTTTTCTCCTCCCTTTTCCAGTGTCATTTTTTTCATCTTTTATTTCAATTTCTTTTTTAAGAGCTAGTGCCTCTATAATTTTGTTTTGTCCATTTTCAGCATTTTTATTGTTGCAGTCTTCTTTAACAACTTCTTGCTTGATTCCAGCTAGTATTTTCACATTTGCATCTATGTTTCTTTCTGTCATATCATTTTTGGTCTTCATTTTAGCAAACAGTCTAGCTGATCTTCTTTTTGGCTCTTGCCTTATGTCACCTTGACCTGCAGCAGAGGCGAATTTTTCCCTTTTCTAAGACAGTTTGAAGTCTGTGCCGTCTAATAGCACGGTATTACCATTTCATAGGCATCTGGCATGACTAGCAGTGGAGGAGGGAATAAAAAAAAGGGAGGAAGGGAGGAAGAAAGGAAGGGAGGGAGGGAGGAAGAGAGAGAAAAGAGGGAGGGAGGAAGAATGGCAGGAGTAGAAGCTTTTTTTTTTTTTGGTACCAGGGACTGAACTCGGGTCCTTCTGCTTGCAAGGCAGGTGGCAGAACCACTGAGCTAAATCCCTGGCCTTAGTAGCTTTTTAATTTGATGTGATCCTGTGTTGATTCTTGATGTTTGTTATGCAACTGGTGTTGTGTTCAGAAGTCTTTGTCTATGCCTGTCTTCAGGGCTTATTTTATCTTCCAGCAGATGATGTTTCTATTTTAGAATTTAGATTATTGATTCACTTTGATTTTAGTTTAGTACATGGTGAGAGACGTGAGTCTCAATTCAATCTTCTGCATGTGGACAGCCAGTTTTCTGAGCATCGTTTGTTAACAAGGCTATTCTTCCAGGGCATGTTTTTTGGCTTCTCATCAAAGATCAGATGGCTGAATGTCTTGGGTTGTTTCAGCATGTTCTGTTCTGCTCCATTAATCCACATGTCTGTATTTGTGCCACTGTTGTTGTTACCACTGCAGATTTGTAACGTAACTTAAAGATGGGCACTGTGATGCTGTCTGCTTTGTTTGCTCTTGCTGCCCAGGATTGCATTTACTATTCTGAGTCTCTTCTCATATGAATTTTAGGATTGATGTTCTCTAGTTCTGTAAGGAATGCTGTTGGTACTTTGATTGGGATTGTACTAAATCTATCAGTTTTGAATGTGTGGCCATTTTGACTATACTGATTCTACCTATCTAGGAACAGGGTATATCATACCATCTTCTGATACAATATCCTTTTTGATCTCCTTTTTCAGAGTACTATAGTTTTTGCTATAGAGGTCTTTCACTTCCTTGGCTATGTTAAGTATTAAGTATTTAATTTTTTTGAAGTTATTTTGAATGATATTGTTTTCCAAATTTGTCTTTGGGTTCATTTTTGGTGTATAGGAATGCTATTAATTTTTGTGTGTTATTTTGTATACTACTACCATGTTGTATTTGTCTATTAGTTCTAGAAGTCTTTTAGATCTTCTAAAGATTATGTTATCTGTGAATAACAGTTTGACTGCTTACTTTCCTTTATATATCCCTTTTATTTCTTCTTCTTGC